TTGCACTGCTATGTAGTGGAGCTTTCGTTCTTTTTGCAGCAAGGATTTATAAGTAAGACTGTGCCGATGTTTGTTGAGAGATCTGAAAGCATTTCAGCTTTCATCTTACTGTGTCAATCTCGTTTCCAATCTTTTTCAGTTTTGCTTATTGTGTCTTTCAAAGAAGTACATTTCATCTGAGGTATTCAATTTTTTGGTATAAAATTGTTAATATTATTATTCTTGTAATATCAGTAGATTCTGTTTTGATGTCTCCTTCTTTTTAGTATAACAATAGTTTATTTGGGGGGAGAGATGGAAGAAATCGGATAATTACTATGAGGTGATAAGGGGCTTCAGAGCTGAAAGCCTCTGCCCTTTCATTCTTTTTAATTTTTTTTCCTTTCATTCTTTTTTTTTTAATTATTTATTTATTTTAACATTTATTTATTGTGTGTGTGTGTGTGTGTGGCCAGCTCAGCCCGCCAGGGGGCGGGGCTGGCTGGCATGTGGTGCTGGGGTTCGAACCGCAGTCCCTGTGCTTTGTCAAGCTTGTTCCAAGTAGGTGCTTTAGACCACTGAGCCATCTCACCAGCCCCCTTTCCTTTCATTCTTAACACTGGTAATTCATATCTTGTCTCGCTTGTCTTTTTTTTTTTTTTTTTTTTTTTAAGGCAGGGTTCTGCTATGCAGTTCAGGCTGGCCTCAAACTCACAGCAATCCTCCTACCCCAGCCTCCTGAATGCTGGGATTACAAGTGTGTGCCACCATGCCTGGCTTCTTTTATTTCTTGGGCAGTCTATAGAAATCTATTTCATTTATCTCAAAATTCAAAGTTCAGGCTCACTGATTTTTGTCCCTATTGCTGGTTTATATTCTATTCCATTGATTATTATTTAGCCTTTTTGTCTTTCTGAGACATGGTCTCACTCCGAAGTACAGGCTGGCCTTGAATTCCCTTTGTAACTGAGGTTAGCCTGGACCACAGTGACCCTCCTGCCTCAGCCTCCCCGAATGCTGGGATCATGCCCCTGTGCCAACATGCTTGGCCATTCCATCGATTTATGTGTTTATCTTTACTATTTTCTTCCTTTAACTTACTTTGGGTTTAATGAACTCTTTAAAAAAATTACTCTTGATAGTCGCTCCTTCTCTACTATAAATAACTAAAGCTATAAATTATAAGAATTTCCCACAAATTTTAATACATTTGACCAATGAGTTATCTTAGAAGTCTGTTGTTTAATTTTAACACACTTAGGGTGATCAGATATTTGTCTGCAATGGAGTTCTAAGTCTGTTCCAATTAGAAAACGTATTCTGTACTATTTCAGTCTTTTTTTGGTTCATTGAGATGTACATGGTCTGCCCTTGTGAGAATTTCATATTCACCTGAAAAAGAACACACCTTCATTCTTTGCTGGAATTGTCTATAAACATGTTAGGTGAGTTTGCTGTTCAGGTTTTTATATTCTTGCTACTTTTGCCTACTAATTACTGCAAGAGGGGTAGAAAGGTGGCCAAGGGCGATTGTTGATTTATGTTTCTCCTTGAAGAGAGAGATCATCAGTTTTTGTTTCACATATTACAAGTTCTGTTACTGTGAACACACATATTTGAAATACTATGTTTTCCTGATATACTTAATCCTGAATCATTGTGAACTGCTTCTGCCAATACTGTGTGTTTCAATGGCCACTAGTCTGACCAGCATTAACGTTTGTATGGCGTATCACTCCTGTCTTCGTAGTTACAGTGGGCTCATATGCACAGTAATAGCTGGACACTGTTTTTTACACATTCTGAAAACCTCTTCCTTTTAGTCGACATCCACACATTTTAGCTGACCTTGTCATATGGGGCCCTGGGCACGGATGCAGGCAGGAGGCAGATGGGGCGAGTGGCCTGCCTAGTGCACCTTCTGCGCAGGCTGCAAGTTCTCTCAGACAATAAGCATGGTCTGGCCTTGTCCCTTCCCCATGGCAACAGGATCTTCAGAGCCACTGGCTGGGCCCAGACCTTACTCCAGAGCCCAGCGTCTCCAGGACTCAGCTTCTGGTCCCTTCTTTTGCTTTGCAGTCAGTGACCTCAGAGCAGCCGGGACTGGGACTGGCACTGTGGCCTGAGCTTCCCACTGCACCTGGATGCCCCCTCCTCTCACAACAGCACTAGCCACTTACCTGCTGTTTCGTGTCCTCCTGAGCAAGCTGGCGGTGGGTGGGGTTCTCGTGAGAAGTTGGTGTTTGTTGAGCAAATGAAAGACTGTGTGGGTGCTGAGCCCAGCAGTGCTGCCTTCTAGCTCAGGGCAGAGCAGACTCCGATGTGCACAGGGCTCTGGCTTGCGCCTCCAGCTCCTGAACCACATGGTGCTGGCTCCCGTCACACATGTGACAAGTCTGATCTGCTTCCACTGAGTCCTGGGCAAGGCCTCGTACAGTTCACATCTAGGGAGGCCAAGTCCCCAAGTCCGGTCAGGGCTACAGTGAAGGCTAGGGTTCTTATCTCAAGATGGGGGGTTCCCCTCATTCAGCTATGCACTGGGGAGAATGCTGGAAATTCCCCCAGGCCGTTCCCGGGAGTGTGTGTGAGAGGATGGCAGGTAGCCCTTCAGGACTCTGTGGCTGGCTGTGTGCAGGTCTCCAACAGCCCTGCCTCAGCCCCGCTTGCTGACACCTTCCCAGAACCCCACTGTCCATGTGCCTAGCTCTCCTCTCCTGCCCTGGGCTGCCCCGAGGCCCAGGAAGCCACGTGGCACAGGCATCTCCTGGGGGCAGAGCTGGGTCCTGGCAGACACAGCTGCTGCCCGCCCAGTGCACTGGATCACACTTCACCGCGCACTCCTCAGCATGCTTCTTGCACTGAGCACAGCCCCAAGATTAATCCTGTCACTGTGCGGCCAGCTGGCTCCCCTCTGCTGCCATGTGTCGCCACCTAGCTGGTGCCCATTGGGCCACTTTACATGTGCACCCCGAGCTGTGGCCATCTGTGCCCTACAGTTCTGGTCTTGGTAAGCACCGGTGGGGGCAGTCCTGTGGGAAGTCCAGGTGTGACTTGCAGGAGGCAGCCACGCTTTTCCCAGGTGGGCCTGCAGTGCGTGCAGGCTGAGTCCCCAGTAGACCTCTCTTCCTGGCCTTCCCATCTGTGTGTCAGCCATGTGCCCTGCAGGAAGCAGCACCAGCAAGTCTCTCCTGGGCCCTGTGTGGATGTCCTGTGTGCCAAGCCTCACAGACAGGACTACATCCCGAGAACAAAGCCAGGCCACGGCTCAGGTGGGCAGCGGGAGTGGCCTTTGGCCTGGGCTGATGCATGCCTATCTATGCTGACGGCAAGGAGAGAAGACACTGCCAGAGGGGAAGCTGGGCAGCAGTTCCGCATGGATCAGTCTCTGCTGTTCAGCCAGAACCGCTCCTCGCCCACCCCAACACCCAGCCAGGATCTTGGAGCTTCAGCTCAGCCTCAGTCAACCAAGGGCGAGGGGTGAGCAGAGACATGGAGATGCCAGGAGAGGGCTCCCCTTCCCAGGCCCCAGGGATACTAGGGATGCCCCCATCCCACCAGAGGGCCCCAGGGATCCCAAGCCCCCAGGCCTTGCTGCAGGGTTCGGTGTTGCCCACCCCAGTACTGCAGGGCCACTGGGTGGGCACCCAAACCCAGATGCTTCCAACATGAGCGTCTTGCACCTATTTAGGTTGCTCATTATTCTTTAAAAGAGCTGAACACTAAAAATAGTGGCTGTGCATGACAAACGGGAGCAGCGGCTCAGAAAGCTGCAGCAGCAGTGACAGAATCAGGCCGTGGCGCAGGGCCGATTGGGCCAGTAAGGTTCTAACGGTATGAGGTGGTCACACAGCCAGGGCCACCAGGGGTGTCCAGGCAGAGCCACAGAAACCCGCAAGGACACTACCAGGCTGCCCTGCCAGGTCCTCCTCCAGTGCAGGGCCCTGCTCATCCTAGCCATGGCTCTACGAGCCAGATCCCACACTGCCCTCTAGTGGCCCAGGTCCCATCTCCAGATACCTGGGACTGGGGCCTTGGGTTCCACTGTCCCCGCTCTTGCCTGGAGCACTGCTGGGCACAGCCACCCCAAGTTCTCCCACTGGTCTCCAATGGCTCTCTACTCTGCCCCCACACAGGCAGCTAACACAGACCCCAAGGAGGGCAGGGCACCTTTCAGAGAAAGAGGCCACAGGGTGATGCTCAGGGCATAGACCCGTGTGGGGCCCTGGGCAGGGTGGTGGCAGGTGGTCAGTAGTGAGGGGACGTTCGGTGGTCACCCTGAGGGCTCAGTCCTAAGTGCAGGGACCCACTGCCCACAGCCATGGAAACTGCTAATGAGGGGTTTTAATCTCCTGAGCAACAAAACCCGCAGGCCCAGGGCAGCCTACGGGCTGTGGAGCCCTGCCTAGAGCTCAGGAACAGCTCTGAGTGACAGGGTTGGTGGTCCGTGCTTAGCTTCCCAGCAAACTGCAAATGGGTCAAACCCTAAGAGTCCTATATGGGGCTTTATCTTGGGGCTGAGTCAGGGATGAGCCTGACACTGGCTTAAGACAAACCAAACCTTGCACAGCAGCTTGATGAAGGCACCTTGTCCTGGCCAGTGCAGGCAGCCCTCTTGCTGACCGACACTGTAAGGTCCTCTAGGCCTAGGCTGCTCCGGACACCACCCCAGGGCAGCACCTGGGCACCCACAGCCATCCCCATGTTCCTGGCCTGCCAGCTGTACGTGACACCTGGCAGGATTATACCAATGGCTTGAGGTCCCTGAACATCTGAGCAGGCTTGGACCCAGCGAGCAGAACAGGTGGCCAAGTAGTGACCCAAATTCCAACTCTGCAGCCCACAGGCACTGCAAGCTTGGGCTTGAACTCGGAAGGATGAGGGGCAGCTCCCAAGGAAGGTGGTGCCAGGCTCCCTTCTGCTTGTTTCTGGAACTTTCTTCTGGTGCAGCACTCAGCCATGAAGACAGGGTCACCGATGGCCACACTGAGCCTGGCACTGCCCTGACAGGCTGGAGACTACAGTATCATCAGAAAAGAGTTTAATTATGTACAACGATCATCAGACTGATTACAAAGCAGGATGGACACCCTAGCCCTAGGAACAACAGCAGAGCACGCAGGTGACAACGTGCAGAGAGGTGACAGACACCAGACGCAGGACGAGTCACGAGCTGTGATGACTGTGGGAGGAGCATAGATCAGCACTGTTCCTCTGGGATCAGGAGGAAATGAAAGGACAATCAGCTTTGGAATGTTTTCTGCCCTGAACTGCGGGAGGGCATCTGTTCGCGACCCACACAGGACAGAGGGCAGCGGATCGGAGTCTCTTGGGCTGCATCAATGTCCTGCCCAGTAGCTGGGGAGCCTTCCAAGACCCCCGAGGTGGCCTAGGCCTTGGCCTTAGCCTTGTGAGTGCCTGCACAGCCACCCCTGGGCCTCAGAAGAGGGGCCTTGAGCCCTGGTTCTCAAACTCAGACCAGGCGTCATTAAGTTCCATGAAGATCATCTTGGCATACTGCTCATAGGGCTGCCCTGTGGCCTGCCAAGAAAGAGGGCCAAGAAGTAATGAGCAGCTGCCTGCCTGCCCGCCGCAGCCCACCCACCACGCCTGCTCACCTTATCAGGGTGCACGACCAGCACTGCGCGGCGGTACTGCTTCTTCACCTGCCCCGGCGTCACCAGGTCGGCCATGCTCACGGGTGTCCAGCGGTGCTCCCCGTCCCACAGCACCGTGTGCAATGTGGACAGCAGGGCGCGGATGTTCCTCTCCTTACCCTCAATCCAGTCCAGGAGCTACAGGCGAGCCCACACGCACTGAGTGCTGGCCCCAGGGCACTGTCCTCCCCAGCAGCCACTACCTGCGGGCCCTGGGAGCAGGCTGGGTGGCAGCACCTTGGGGACAGCCTGACACCTCAAGACACTGTCCCATCTCTCTTACCCATCAGGGCCCCACTTCAACCACCCCAATCCTGTCCTGGTTCCCCAACACCACGCAGGGATCCAAGTGGCAGTGTCCTGGCCAGCAATGCAGGCCAGGACCCAGGGAACTGTCTCTGCCCTGACACTGGCAGGACACAAATCCGGGCCCGTGGCACAGCTGTCCCAGCCCATGACTCAGGGCACAGGGAGGCAAGTGGGTTCCCAGTGGCCAGACAGAGCCTGAGCCCTACAGAGCCGCTCACTACCACCCATACCTGCACATAAGGATGCCATTCAGACTCATGGTGACACATCTGACTGAGGGGGCCACAATGTGTCTCTGTCACCCCATACAGAGTATCCCAGGTCAGGGGAGAAGCCTAGAGTGACACTGCTGCCCCCAGGGACCTTCTACACAAGTCTCAGGCCCCAGAGGTGCCAAGTCTGTCTTGTCCTGCCTGCTCTAGGCAAAGGTCCCATGTATATATACAGCTCCCAGACACAAAGGGACCAAGCCCGTCATCCCACCTTCAGCTTGAGGGGGTCCGTGTCTCGGGCAAGGTCCTGCTTCCTCATCTCCGCCATGGTCTTTGGCCCCTTCTTGTCAGACTTGGAGAAGCCTTGGTTGGGTAGCAGATCTTCAAAGTCGTTCTCTGAGACCTTTGGTTTGGGGGCTGGAAGAGAACAGAGCTTTGCAGAGACACTGGCGCCTTCCCGCTCCACCAGACCTCTACTCCAGGGCAAATCTCTGTCCTGAGGCTTCCACAGAAAAGGGACAGGAAGACAAGTGTGTCCTCAAATGCCATCTGCCAAACTTAGTAGAGAAGCTGATGCTGGGAGGACCACAGGTGGCCAGGGCAGACGTTAGCAGGCAGGATACCACACTCACCACAGGCACCACAGTGAGCCCTGCCACCTCCCCAGACAGGCCCCACATACCTCCCAGATGGGACTCACCAAAGCTAGGCACACGGATGCCCCGCTCCTCTCGGTCCCCAATCACGCCAAAGTTCGTAACGTAGTTTGGCCTTGGTGGTACACAAGTTTTGGGGGGAACCTTGGGCTGGGGGGGCCATGAGGTGCCCTGAGCTGGTGGCCGATTTGTCTGCCAGGAGCTGCCGCCTTTGGGGGAAGGAGCTGTTCTGGGAGCAAAGCCTCCAGGTAGGGGTCCAGCAGCTGGGCCTGGGGAGAAGACCAAACAACACTCAGGATGTTGTCATGCCGAGGCTGTGTGGGTGGGGCAACCGCCCCTGCACCTGGAGACAGTCACCTGAGGGGGCCTGCTCCAAGTGCTCACGCATGAGGGCAGACACAGGGACGTCCCCTTGACCTGTCCACAGCAGCTGCGGGCCAGCATTCCTATTACATGAAGTGGCTGAGCCCCTCAAATGTGCATCTGAGGCTTCGGCTTTTATAAAACAATTAGAATCCCCAAAGCTGAGAGTCCCTAAGCCCCTGTACCCTGCCTCCCCAGGGAGTCCCAGTACACACAGCCCCACTGTGCATGGTCCACATGTTCTCCCACAGTGCAGACCCCAGCAGCACCACAGCTGACATGTGAGCCTGTCCCTTGACAGTTCTGTCACACTCAGAACAGTCTACAAACAGAACCAACATGGGGATCCCTATGTCCCCAAAGACAACTGGGCAACTCTTGACGTTGACATACTTCCTGGCGTGGAAGGACACCTCGCCCATCCTGCTGCAGCTGGCACAGAAAGCATGCTGGCTACTTCTATGGGTAACTGGCACAGAAGTGTGGTGACTGCAGTTTAGTTTTGCAAGAAACTGATCAAGAGTGGCTGGTCCAATTTATATTCCCACAAGTGGGTGCAGGGAGCCGGCTTCCCCAGACCTCTGGGTGCTGGGTGTTGCCTCTTCAGGATCCAGGAGGCTCCGTCTCATGCTACCTTCTGTTCTGAGTGGTGTGGGACACACTGACTGCTCCTGACCACGAGACACCCACCCTGTGTGTTCCCAAGGCAGGATGGCCCCTCTTGTTGCTGGCTTGCTGGGCTCTGCAGTGGTGCCTATCTTTTCTCTTCCATCAGTCTGAAAATTCTATCTTTCCAAAGGACAAAGTCTTCTGGATTTTTAAAATGACTCCTTTCCTTTTACTTGGCTTCAGTCTTGCGTTTCCTTTTCCAATTTCCCAGGACAGAGTCATGTTGCTAGCAAGACACTTGGTGATCTCCAGCATGGCTCAGTTGTGCTCAGGTTCAGTCATTTGGTCCCTTGCCCAGCTTTGTCCACTGAGCCCCTGGACCCCCTAAGCATCCGCAAGGGCTGCTGTGCCTCCAGTATGACCCAGCTCCTATTACCCTGCTGTTACCAATCTCTGATTCCAGCGTGCACGAGGCTCTCAGGTCTGGGGAAGGCATGCAACTACAGGAAAGGGATGTATGTGGGCTGCTGGTCTATCCTTGGTTTGCTCTCAGCCTCTCGGGCTCAAGGGGCATCCCGTGATCCCTCCAGAATAGGTACCCGGTCCTTAGAGCTCTCTGCTCCAACTGCAGCCTTCACATGGGCGGACGGAGCCAGAGGCAGCAGGGAGCCATGCTCAGGCCCCTGCTGAAGCTGCACATCCCAACAGAGGGACTTGCTGCCTCAGAAAGCAGCAGTTTCTAACAAGAACAAAAACTGCTGGGCTGGAACAACAGAACAGCAGCAGAGTGAGGCTGGGAGATGAGGAGGAGGCACAGGTTGGGGCCAATGCCAGAAACCTCACTGCCGCCCGGGACTCACAGGTCAGGGAGAGGGCAAGGGCAGAGCCAGGGCCTCAGGAGCCAACACAGCCAAGGGACACCACTCCACAGCTGCCGGCTGCTGCAGCCACCAGGCCATGCAGGACCTGCATCCATGGTCTCCACCTGAGGCCCCACATGCTGGCCAACAGTCAGGCACAGTGGTGCACACCTGTCATCCTAGCACCTGAGGGGCTGAGCAGAGGATTATCATGAGTTTGAGGGTTACTTGTGTAATCCCTAGTGAGACCCTGTCCTGAAAAAGCAAAGGACACCTGGCAGCCGCAGCTGCAGCCCTCGGGCATTCAGGGCATGCTCTCACCTTACCTGGGAGGCTGGAGCTGAGGTCACGGAGGTCACCGAGGTCAGCAAATGGGTCCAGGCTCTGGGACTTGGTTTGGCTAGGGTGGGGGACAGGAGGGACTGGCAGAGCTCCAGGAGGCAAGAGGGGTCCTGCAGAAGGGAGGAGGACATCAGACAGGGAAAAACACTCCAGGCTCCCTAAGGATCAACAGGACGAGTGGGGCACAGAGCTACCACCAAATAAGCATGCCACACCCGACTGCCCAGTGCCAACGCCACTGCAACAGCGTGGTGATCCCTGCTAGGGCCTAAAAAGTGAGCATTCTTCACAGCGCACCTTTTCTGCTTTCCATTCATTTGATACAGGGTCTTGCTACACAGTTCAGCCTCCCCAGCACTGGGATTACAGCGCGTGCCACCACACTTGGTTTTGGTGACTGGCATGGCATACTTAGGGTTTGGGGCCGGCACAGCATGCGGTGCCAGGGATGGATCTGGGTCCTTGTGCTTGCAAGGCAGGTGCTTAGAACACTGCGCTCTCTCCCTAACCACAATATGCCTTATAATAGTGTAAATGTCAGAACACCCTAAGTCACACTGCTCCTTGATAAAATACTATGCACTCATTAAAAATGATGACTATTTGCCCAGATGTGGTGGCACACTTCTGTAACCCCAGCATTCTGGGAGGCTAAGGCAGAAGGGTCACAAAAATCAAGCCCTGCCTGGGTAACTCAGCCACTTAACAAGACCCTGCCTCAAAATAAAAATTAAGGGGCTGGGGAGATGGCTCAGGAGAATAAGCGCTCGACTGGCAAGCGCCTGAGCTCAATCCCCAGTTCTGCCCCAAAAATTAAAAAGTAAAAATTAAAAAAGACTGAGATGTAGCTCCATTTTATTTTTTTAAAGATGATTTCTGGGTGTAGTGGCACATTCCTATAATCCCAGCACTCAGGAGACTGAGGCAGAGGATCACTATAAATTCAAGGCCAACCTGGGCTACACAATGAACTCAAGGCCAGTATGAACTACAGTGAGACTTTGTCTCAAAAAAAAAAGTAATTATTCACACGTAGAACATTCAGAAATCAATTAAAGAAAACCAGAAATCTCTATGTAAAAATGAACAAAACAATGAATTCTCAAAAGAAATACAAATAGCTAAAATTATAAGCAATAAAAGCTAAAAAGAAAAAGAAATAAAATTCAATTTGATCTGTAATGAAATGGTAGTCAAAAGCACCAACGGTGGGTTGGGGAGACAGCTCAGTGGCACAAGTGCTCCCCTGGCAAGTGCAAGGTCCTGAGTTTGATTCCCAGTACCAAAAAAAAAAAAAAAAAGACACTAACAGCCTATGAAATTGGTGAAGCATCTTTAAAGATATCATTGAACTGCAGGGGAATGCAGGACAGTGGCTGCTCCTGGGTGATATGCTGCTTCACATATCCTGAAAATGAACTCAAGGCCAGTATGAACTACAGTGAGACTTTGTCTCAAAAAAAAAGATTTCAGGGGCCAGAAAGCAGCCAGGATGCAGGAGGTCCAGGGTATGGCAGGTGGGTGCTAGGGCAGTGCCCACTGCACACAGGGCTCACAGTCCCAGGAGACTGGCCTTTCAGAGCCCCACGGTGGTACAGGGCAGCCTCAGACCAACAGGATGGAGTGTGATGCTTCCAAACAACCCCTGCAGGAGAGAAGGCTGTACCACCCACAGCCACCAAGTGTATTTTGGGACCCGTGTGCAGGCAGCTCCTCTAGGGGGCAGCACGTCACTTGGTGTGACTCAGGCTGGTGTCCTACCTTCTGAAGCTGGTCCAGGCACAGCAGCCTCAGCCCAGGTGTCCCATCCCCCCAGCAGGTCCGGGTGGCTGGATGAGGCCGTCACCTTGCTGAGCTCTGCTGGCGGGTCCCCTGGGAAAAGTGACCAAGGACACATGGGCAGGTCTCCACAAGCCCCACCCCCACTACTCAGGCCCCCTTCCTGTGTGAGCAGGAGGCTGAGCGAGAACATGAGATCTAGGGGTCTCCTCAGTGGCCAGCGCTGAGGGTGGGCTTGGCCCTCACCAACAGCTGGCGCTTTCAGATGGGCAATAAGGGCACTGTAACATATGGCCACTGAGCTGACTGGCAGGACTTCCAAGATGCCACTGGGCACCTCAGAGGACAGCAACAACCAGCACGCTCCTACACTGCCTCAGAGGCCCTGTTGAAGCCATGCAGAACCCCGGGCTACCTGCCCATAGCTCCACAGCACACCGGGGCCCATGGCACAATGGACACATGGGTGTTCTTGGTCTGCCCCCAGAGGAACAACTCAGCCGATCTTCCACCGTCTACGGGCCACAGGCCACACGCTGATAGCAGTTGCTCACACCAAGCCCAGCTCTCCTCTGGAGCATGATCCAAGCATTCCTGCCAAGACTACTCCACAAGCAGCTCGGCTCGTTCTTGCCTGGGCTGCCTCCAGGAGCCAGGCCACTGTCCAAGCCAGGGCTTGGCTTCCTTCACCCGGCACACCAGACTCCTGGCCTCTTCCCCGCCTCAGCTTCCTAGACTCTGAGCCCATGCCCCACATCCTCACCTCTTCGTCCCACAAATGCATCAGGCAAAGAAGTCTGGCCTTTCAGGGAGACAGTACTAGGCCCAGGAAAAACCTAAGGGTCAGTTAGTGTCCTGACCCTGTGAGTACCCAGTGGGTGCCCTGGAGGTGGAGGACACTGTGAGAAACCAGAAGTCCCAACCCCACCACATGGGACAGCATGGTTCCCCTCACACAGCCCACTGTAAACACTCACCCAGTGGCAGGAAGGTGGCACAGGATGGCGGTGGTGCACTACTGGTACAGGGGAAGGCTGCTGGGGCTGCCATCGGGGCTGTTACCGGGTCTGCATGCAGGAATTCACCGAAGAGGTCAGGCTGGGAACCAGGCTGGGAGTCGGCACCAGGAGCCAAGAGTGGGTCGAATGGGTCAGCTGTGAAGACAGCAGACAGGGCTGGACACCGCCGCTGGCCCTGGGCTCTGCAGCACAGCCACGCTACCACCCCAAGCCCAGACCCAGGGCCACTTCTCCTGGGCCTCTCCTGCCCAGGCAGGGGCTGAGACAGCATTCTCTGACACCCAGAAGCTTGAGATGCCCATCCCACAGACGCTAGCAGTCCGGCAAGGAAAGGCGGGCAGCCAGGGGCATGAGCTGGGCAGATACATGCAGAAGCAAGCAGGGCTCCACCCTATGCAGCCACAGAAGCTTCTCCAAGATAGCTCCCTTGGCCAGGAGCTCAGCTGCGTTCACCTGGGGAATGGGGCATACCTGTGGCAGGGGGGCCTTCCTGTGGGGCACTCTGTGCACTCAGAGGGGCCGGGCTTGCCAAGAGCAGGGGGGTCTCGTCACCCAACAGGTTGCTGGGCAGCCCTTGTGGAGTGGATTCGGGTGGCCCGAGCAGGCAGCTGAGCAGGGCGGTGTTGCCTGAAGGGGCCATGCAGGCCTGCGCAGAGGCAGCTGGTCCTGGGGCAGCCTCTGAGTGCAGCCCCAGGAGGTCAACACCATCTTCCTGCGGCCTGGTTTCCCATGCTGAGGCTGGGCTGGCTCCACCAAGCATCAGGTCTTGCCGTCGGACCCCTGCCACAGAGCCTGGTAGGTCCTCACTGGTTCCAGGCTGGCTGTCCCTGCCAGGAACTGAGGACACCTCTTCACCGGATGCTTCGCTTTCATCTCTGTCTGTGATAAGGACAGCCTGGCTCTCCTTAGCAGAGAACCCTTCCACTCCAGTCTCGGCTGCTTTCTCTTCTGTAAAAAGGAACGACAGCAAGTCAGCAGAGCTGCAGGCTAATGTGCTAGACAAAGACAGGAAGGGTGACACATTGGGTGGCGGTCTCAGCTGCAGCCACAACAGGGGTCCCCATGCCCACCTGGAGGCTGATACGGGAAAGCACACGCCTTGAAGCATGGGCCCCATTCCCACAGCCTCCAGCAGGACCCAGGCCTTGCTTCAACCCCTCTGGGGATGGGGGCACTCCACTGTCCTGTCCAGAGCTGTATGTGCACTTTGTAAGCCTCAGCCAGCGGAGACACAACCAGCACCCATTGAGAATGGCCAGCTGAACTTGGGCTGACAGCTGGCAGCAGTGGGGTATGTGTACGTGTCCCTGGGCTGTGAAGCCAGTGATGACTCGTATGTGTCTGGCTGAGCAACTAGGCCAACACGGGCAGGGAGGGTGAGCAGTACAGTGGGGTGGCAGCAGCGAGTCAGAGAGTGGCGGTGGGACACAACACCCCACTCAGCTGCCCTGTGCTCAGTCCCAGGGAAGGCCCTGTGCAGAAGACTCAGTCACAAATACCTCAGGAGGGCCTTGGTGGGTAGGTTTGATAAATTCTAATTTTTAGAAATACAGAAACAGTTTTTAGTGTGTGAGACATTCAAAACAGGCTGGCACAGGGAAACCCAGGTATCCACACCCAGCTGCAGACCACTGGGGCGCGGAGCCTTGGGCCAGAGTAGGCGGGGTGGGGGTGGGGGTGGGAACACAGCAGACTAGGCCCCCATAGTGGTGGAGGGCAGGCTACACCCTGCGCCTACCCTGCCAGTCCAGCGTGTGGAGGAAGTGGTCTGCGTCTGTGCTGCTGCTCTGCGGTGAGTCCGAGTCCGTGGGCTCAGCCTCTGGAGACTCTGCCTCAGCGTCATACTGAGCAGTGGAGCCCGGCTGCCGGGGCAGCTCTGGCTTCCCTGCCGGGAAAGGGCTGGCATTAGCCACTTGTGGCAGCATATGATCTGGGGCAAGGCCCATGATTGGGGACAGCTAGGGAGCCAGGCCACTGACACTCATAGCTAAGGCAAAGGGATGACAAGGTCCAGATAGGCGCAGGCCGCAGGCTCAGACAGAGACAGGCACACCTCTCCTGAGGTGCTGAGCCACCTCAGACAAGGGGGCAGGAGCAGCACAAACTGGGACTCGGGGCCTCCCCACCTGAGGCCTCTGTGCTATTTCGTGGAGACCTCCATGCTGAGCAAGGGCCACCATGTGCCACAGGTGCCCAGGCAAAGCTTCCCGTTCCAGATGTGAGACCCACATCGGCATGTGGCACAACGGAGTCTCTGAGATGGGTGGGTCACAGCTCAGCCCACCAAGACCCAGCAGCAGTTCCACAGGCAAATCCACCTCACTCCAGACTAGGTCTACTGTGCCCCCATAACAAAGTCCTCCCAGGAGAGGCTGGGCCAGGGATGCTGAGCCATAGCGGGCAGCATGGTGTGGACATGGCTGGAGGGTGCCCTGGACCTTTCCCTATGCTGCAGTGGAGGAGGAAGTCCCTGCCACTAGCAGCAGGGCCTCACACAGGCGGAGCGCTGCCAGCTGGGTCAAGTGCAGCACCCCATAGTCTCCTCCACACCATACCAAGGGCCAGAGCCAGGCTACCTACAAGTGGGTACAGTATATGAGGTGTTGCACCTTTGTGACCTTACCGAACTTAGACAGAATGTCCTGCTGCTCCTCTCGGCTGGAAAACAGGATCTTGGGGTTCAGTCCTCTCATGCTGGTATTCTCCCATGGTGGGGCCTCCCGGCACGGTCTGTCTCTAGGCTCCACCTCCACCTCTAGGTTCACTTGGAACAGATCTGGGTACTTCTCCTGAATGTCGCATGCATCCAGGTCATACCTGTAGGTCCCACGGAGAGGTCAGGACTGTCTGCAAGCTGCTCACTTTGCCTTCAGCACCCACAAAGGGCCTGCTCTTAGTAGGCACATTGTCTTCCACCATGGGACCTGCGAGACCCCAGCAAGGGCTGGTGCACCCAAGTTATATCCCAGCTCTGTCAACACTGAAGATTGTCTGAGTCCACAAGAGGCCAAGGGCTCAGATGTGACTACGAGAACAGAATTGTTGCCAAGATGCACAGTAATGCCTATGCCAGGTGGGGGAGGCCATGAGGGGAGGCGACCCAGAACAGCCTTGCCCTTGTCCTCCCAACTCTACATGTCCCACAGAAGCTCAGCTGGTTTATTAGTGCTATGGAACTGTAAGTGCATGTCCCACAAACATAGCAATACCCACTGAGAAGCCCCTAACCACTACTATATAGCCATGAACCAAGACCTCTGGGACCCCAGGCAAGAGAACTGTGGGGCCAGGAGAGGCCAGCAGCCTTAGCCCACCTGGCCTGGGCTACAGGGAGTGGGTGGACAGGCAGGGGCACTGCAGGGCCTCCTACCCACTCCTCATTGTGTGCAGGCCTTGCAGTGGGAACCCTGGCTGCTTCGCTGAGCTACCCTAACAGGGCAGCTCTGCAGCCCTCACTCTTCAGCCTTGGCCTTGAGTTTCCATTTTCCACCTGAAAGTCACTGTATGTTATACTTCGGCTGCATATTAAAACCCCAACACTTAAAACACAAAAGTAAGCTGGGAATGGTGGTACACACGCCTGTAATCCCAGCACTCCAGATGCTGAGGCAGGAGGATCCTTGAAGTTCAAGGCTAGCCTTGGCAACAAAGTGAGTTCAAGGCCAGACTTAATTACATAGTAAGACCTTGTCTTAAAAGACAAAAAACAAAATTCCACAAAAGTAGCAACAATTTCCAACCCACTCAGGGCGCCTGTGGGCTCCGCGGAGCTCCAAGTCCTGAACACCAATACGGGGACAACAGTGAAGGGGCCTCAGAGGGCAAAGTGGGAGCAGACCCTTTCTGGCCCTCGTGCGTGAGCAAAATGGTGGTGACACTTGTCACCCCAGGCCCTCCCTGTGGGCCAGAGAGGAGTCCTTGTGCACAGGAGACAGGACACCTTGTGACGTGCCTCCTCGCTGTGGCCTCTGGCCAGGGACTGTTGGCTCTTCCGGTCTAAGCCACTGGGAGTGGCACATCTAGAGCAGAGTTGTGGTCAGTGATGGAGAGTGGAGGGGCCAGGTCAGCTGACAGGCGGGCCATCTGTTGGGCCACCGAGGGGGCTGGACAGCAGAGGGTGCCTGCAGTCTGGCTGCGCTCTGGCTGGCCCACAGGGCAGTGAGGGAACAATGGGGGTCTGTGAGCAGGGAGGGTGGCCCCTTGGGGCTTGGACCTTGGATTCAGCTTGTAGCCCTGGAGGTCAGCCACCCAACTGCAGGCTCCACGGGGCACTGAGAGGCTTCTGACATGCCTGGCTGGTTGACAAAGATGCTCTCTGGGGTCCTGACTCTGACTTGGGCACTGAAACCTCTGGTTCTCGATGGTCACAAGCCCCCTCAGGCTGGCTCTGGCCTGGTCCCCAAGGACCAGTACAGTAAGAGAGAACACTGGGTCAAAACCATTCCACCAGGGCTGGCGGTATAGCTCAGCGGACTAAGTGCTTGCTTAGATAAGCGCAGGAGCCAGGGTTCAATACCTGGCTCTGCCTGCCGCGCCGGCCCCACCTTCGGGTGAGCTGAGCCAGTGATGGAGTCCGGGCGCGGTGTCGCGCGCCTGTAATCCCAGCACTTGGGAGGCAGAAATCAGGAGGATCACTACTAATGTGGGCTATGTAGTGAGACCCTGAGCAAAAAAAAAAAAAAAAAGAAAAAGAAAATCAAAACCATTCCACCTTCCTCTCTCTAGCTTCAACCCAGCTGCCTCCGTGGAGAGGCCCACTGCATGAAGCTGTCTGAGCAAGTAGCATCTTGAGAACTCTGCACCTCCATCCCAGAGAGGCTGAGGCCCTCAGTGACCAAGTACCTGCCTGCAGGCTAAGTATGCCCAACAGTGTGGTGTGGCCCCAGGGTGTCCCCAACACCCGGGCACTGGCAACTTCATCCCAACACAATACTGAGGGCTGCAGGCAAAGGGAGGAAGGGGAAAGGGAGAGGGACAGAGAAGGAGGGGGAGAGGAAGAGAGAGGAGAGGGAGGAAAACGGGAGGGAGGGAGGGACAGAGGGAGAGAAGGAGAAAGGGAGGGAGGGGAATGGAGAGAGGAAGGGGAAGAGGAACAGAGGGAGATGGAAAGGGAAGGAGATGGGGAAGGAGGGAGATGGGGGAGGGAGGGAAAGAGCAGGAGAGGGGGGATGGTGAGATGGCGCACACATGGGAGAGGGAGGGAGGGAGAGAAGGAGGAGGTGATAAGGAGAGGGAGGGAGAGGGAGAGGGAGGGAGAGAGGGAGGGCAAGAAGGGGAAGGAGATAGGAGGGAGAGAAAGGGAGACAGGGAGGGAGGAGAAGAGGGGGACGGAGATGGGAGGGAGGAGAAGAGGGGGACGGAGACGGGAGGGAGGGAGAGCAGGGGGGAAGGAAGGAGGAAGGGAGAGAGAGGGAAGAGAGAGGAGGGAGAAAGAGGGAAAGAGACAGAGAGGGAGAGAGGAGAGAGGAGGGAGAGAAGGAAAAAGGAGAGAGAGGGAGAGACAGGGAGCTAGAGAGTGGGAGGAGAGGAGAGGAGGGAGGAGAGACGGACGAATGGCCGGACGGACAGATGGACAGACTGACAGACAGACAGGCAGGCTGGGTTCAACAATGTCCTTGATGAGCACCATGACCTCTCTTAAGGCTCCATTTTGAATTCTGCACCCCACCCCCAGAATGTCCTTGTAGTGGTCCCTGTGGAGTTGCCCACAGTTCAGCAAGGTCGAGGCTGTCAGCTGCTGGCCTTAGCTCCAGCTTTTGCTGTTGTGATCCAAACCTATAAAACCATGAGCTTAGTAGAGGGACACTGCCAATGTAGGTACTGCTACAGCCCACAACACTCAGTGAGCTCACTTGCCACACTGGGCTTGCCCAAGCCATTCCTCAGACTGCCAACGTCCTGTGAGCATAAAGGCAGGGGTTTTGCTTACATTTCTCAGAGAAGTGTATAGAAGAGCCATCCTGGGGACCAAGACTTAACAGTGTCCAAGCATTAGCGTCAGCAGTCCCAGAGGGTCAGTGATACCGGTCTTTGCCCACAGGTCCAAGGGCCAGTGGCAGTCACTCCTGTTTCCTGATAGCCAGTCCTCCAGCTTCTCCAGCCCTGTGCTCCAGGACCCTCAACCACACACAGCCCCCCACCAGCAGCCCATGTGGCGCCTGTGCTCATGCCCCTGCAGGCCTGGGCTAGGACTACACTCCTTTGAGGCTGTCCTGCCCTTCACCTGCTCACCACCTCCCACCAGGCACTGTGAAGCCCACGTGCTCAGCTTGCTGGGGTTACAAAGCTCAAACCACAATGTTGTGCTGCTGTCTACACTGCAGCCATCAGCACCCACTCAGGCCCGCCTCCAGAGTGCCCCACCACTCTGGGTGCTTCCTGCAAGGCAGTGGCTCTGCCACCAGCGCTGCCAGCGCCTCCCTTTGCTGGTCCGAGTACACGTTTGAGCACAGCCCTGGCTGACAAAGCTTCACTGGACGTAGAGGCCTCACACCTTTCCTCCAGGCCCGGAAGACATCGTCCAGCTGCAGATCACATCAGCCTGAAGGCTACGACTCCACGGAGTCTGGGACTGTAGCACTCTCAGGCTGCAGCATCTGCAGCACTTCCGCACCATGGCCCGATGCACTGGTGCAGAAGACTGCTGCCAACAGCAACAGTCTGGGACGCACTGGCGCCCACTCTCCTGTGTCAGGCAGCTATTCCTGTCCACTCTCTCTCCCTGCTCCTCAGACCTCAGACACAGCACACCAGCCCAGCCCGGGAGTCTTGCTCTCCACAGCCTCTTCTATGCTGCAAACTAAGGCCATTCCCCTGCCACTAATTACCTGCTCTGCTGCTAACGCCATCATCTCAATTCTTCACCTCAGCTATGAAATTTCTGTTCTAAAACGCACACCTGCTCTCTGTACATTCCAGACCTGGTATGGTTCCCCATCTTGCCCATTTTTTCTGAATATGCCATCTTGGTTAGTTTTCTGTTGCTGTCACTGTGTCTGAGACCTGAGCGATCTACAGAGAACAAAGTTTTCTCCTGCTCATAGTTCGTGAGGCTGGGAGGTTTAAGACCAGCAGCCATCTGGTGAGGTGCTCCTGGCTGCTGGGCTTTGCAGAGCCCCAAGGCAGCCCAGGGTGTCAAAGGCAGGACACCATCCATGCTCCTGTCCCTCCTTCTGACAAGGCTACGGCACTAGTAGACAAGGGACCTGGCCCATGGCCGAACTGAACCTTAGTCACTTCCTTGGGACAGCGCCCACGCCCTCATAGCTCAGCACGGGGAGGACACCAGAGCACCAGGGGAGATGTTCAGGCCACAGCCATTCTGCTCACAGCCCTGTACACTAACCCCATTGTCTGAATCATGCACAGACTTCGCCAACTCTTTTCTCCTGACCGTTAGTCATCATCTGGTCTTCAAAGACAGTTTTAAAAGCAGCCTTCTGCTGTGGTAGGAAAAATCAGCCTGAGCTTAAGATCTAGTCCTAGCCCAGGCCCGGGACTTCCTAAGATGTTTGATATTCAGACAGACAGTGAGGTTAAGCTTAACAGCCTAGG